AAAAAAAAAAAACAAGACAACACAAAACTAACTAAGCCAATAAAACCGGCGCTCGTTACTGCTATTTTACATCGCCGGGAGTTATCGGAGTCACTGCCACGCTATAAAGCGAGTTACATTAGGGCTGCTTAAGATATCAGATTCCGACTTGAAGATGTTTATGAAATTTATGAAAACAAATAAGAACACCCCTAAAATGACAACAGACAATGAATCAAGAACAGTGTTCTTAGTTTTCTAAAAAAAGCTCAGTGGGTCGGTCGGGCGATGGCGAACGAGACAACAGTGTTATGGGGATGGCCTAAAGCGCCCGCTAAAGATTGAATCCGAAAGAAATATATAAAAGCAAAGCCGGGACAACGTGAAGTTTTGTGATGGATTGACATGTACAGTATAATCATGATCTGGCGGCCACTTCCAGCCGATAGTTCTATGGATGCTATGGACAGTTCTGGCATATACCCACGTTGGCTTAGAGAAAAGCTACCGTGAAGCTTGGCAGACAGGTGGGCCAATAAAGCCCGGTCCTCACTAACGACGCAAGCATAAGCATAAACATAAGCAGCTTATACGCTAGTGAAGACGGCTGCGACATAAGCATAAGAATATCAAAACCTAGCATTCTTCTCATGCTTATGTCGCTATTGTGTCCAGTGACGACATGTTGGCATAAGCATAAGCATAAGCGTAAGATTATGAGCCAATTAGCGAGCACTTTATGCTTAAGTTAACCATGTCCTCATTGGACGCAACACCGACCGTAAGCATAAGCATAAGAAGAATGCTTATAACATAAGACTTCACACAGAGAAAGCTTCAAGTCAGACTCGAACTGACTTCAAACATTAGTAATTGGAGATACATTAGGCTCTTTGGGTGAAGTATATTTATGGAGAGATGGTTTTAAAAAACTTCAAAAATTTGGGGTAGCAAAATAAAGCTCTAATGAGCTCCCTAACATTCTTGTAAAATTTTGAGTTATATATACACACCGGGCTCAAATTCCTTGGTTAATCGTGCTATGACTTTTTTATATTCAGAACTGATAATTTTGTAGCTCGATCGGAAACTGAATCGCTTGTGCTAATGACGCAAATATTGTAAACAAAGATTCCCCTATTTGCTTTGGGAAACATTCTCGTCCTCAGTGCTACACGTGATCAAAAGAGGCGAAGGTTGCTGAGGTGGTGGTGGTGGGGAGGGGGGGGGAATGGCGGCGTTCTGAGCATGCTCAGGTCTAGTCCTTCAGGGTTCAACCCAATACGTGGCAAGTGAAGGGAGAGTCAGCGGGGCTGTACTAGGATTCCATATGATCGCTAAGATTGCTAAAGAAGAATCGCAACGATCCCTGAAATTTGTCCTGTAGCGATCCTAGTGCGAGATCATAGCAGTCCAGTATCGAAACGTATTTTTCATCATGATTTACTAAATCCTGAGCAGAAAAAAAATTCTTGAGCAGTGTCTCCTGATGTAATCAAAGACTCTGTTTTGGAATTCTGGGCCATTTCCGAGTTACCTTTTGACTCTGTTTCAAACCGAGTCCTGGTGCAAAACCTTTCATATGGAAATGAGTTTGAACATATGAATGGAAGACACGTTTTGACACAGAGGCAAAACCGGAAATGGCATATTGTCAAGAGTTCCCCTCCTACCCAACCCTAACTCGATCTGTTTGCAACTACCATGTTGGGAAATTATGAAACGCCTGGAATATTTTGTATTTGTTTTGCTTTTTGAGTACATTTTATAGGACACAGCTGACACTTCCCACGAACCAAATTTCTTCCAGTATACGTGGAAACAAAATATTTTGCTCCAAGGGAATGGCGTTTTTTTCTTCGGTACGCCTCAAGGCAGGAAATTGTGACAATAGACAATGAAATGCTAATTTGGTCATCAAAAGTTTCGGCTATTCC